CATGTTTATGACAGTGTCATGTCAGTCTTATTCACCCCCCTCCAAATAAAGTGTTACCCATGTGCCAAATAAAACTAGTTAGAAACTAGTATAAATAAGTCTTTCTCTGCCCCTTAAGAGAATCAACAATCAAAACATCACAAAGATGGATGCAAAGCACTCCACTCTGTGAGGGTTGCCGCTCTGTTTGTCCCCTATGAGGAATCCATCCAGTCTTTTATTATTTTATCGTTTATTTTTTGACTCCATCTAATCTTTGACTGGAAGATCTCAGATTATGACGAGAGCCTCATGGCTTACAAAACAATAGAGAAAGTCATCACTGTCATCGTTAGAGGCTATCTACACAGGTACTGTGGAGTTTATAGTTTCAAACAAGATGTTAGAGTTTCTCTTTGTTTAAAGAAATAAGAAATATTATCTTACATTATTTATAAATCATTACATATGACAACAACAACAACAAAAAACGTGTGTAACAACTCAGTTATGAAAGTAAACAATCACCTCTAAGGAAAACTTATTTTTGGAGGACATGATGCCTGTATCATTTACTTTTTTTCTATTACTTTAGTTTCTACACAGCATAGTTCTTCCACGTCAGTCTTTAGAGTTTAATGTGGATTTTGACTTGGTCACTTCAGTAACTCGATGTGTTTGTTTTATTGTGGGAAACCTTCTGTCCTATGACCTCTGTTGTTCTTCTTGGATTGCTCCCCTGCAGACATCCTTCAATCTCCTCTAATAGCGGCTTCAGACTCTTTGAGGATTTTAAGGAAATCGTCTTTTTCGCTTCTCCCAGATGAAATTCCAGTCTTCAAAATCTCTGTCATCTGCTCAGGTTCAGTTGCTATGTCACTGATAGTATCGCGTGTCCTCTGCACAATCAAGCCAATGTTCAGCAGCTTGTCCAGGATATGTTTGGTGTCTTTCACTCTTTCGATCAGAGCTGAACAAAATGTTAATCTGTTGCGAAAATGATAGAATAAAGCAATTAAAAATCTTAGGCGCGAGTTAAACAAAGCAACTTTCAAAACCCTAAGGACTATAATTGTTATAGAATGTATCACTGTAAAATATTAACATTTCTGCATCACAGTATTTCCTATATTTCTTTTTTATCAGTGTCTAATCAGCACCCTCAGTACTTGATTCTGTAAGAGTAGAAACATACTATGTTTTCTTATCTTGTGTGTTATCGATGTTACCACTTCAAATTGTCAACAATACCAGAAAAATAATGAATAAAGAGAAACATGATCCCAATTAACATGACACCCCCATTTCCCAATTTGCATGGGGGTGGAGACAAGATGGCTCCACCCCCATGTGAAAGTAGAACAAACGTCCAACAAACTGTCATGTGGTCAAGGTAGTGATGCTCCTGGCTTTACTTGGTGAGGCATGTTTGCTTTATCAGCCAACATTAAGGCAAAGAAGATTGTCAAAAATATTTCAAGCGAGTCATACAACGGGTCTTTGAAGCTATTTGCGGGAAACCTCAGAGAAATTGACCAAGGATCTGAAGAGCTTTTGCAAAAAATAAATGTTTTTCATATGAGCCCAGAAAGGAACTTTGAGTGAGGGATTTTTTTTTTGTTTTCAATAACCCTTTGTCTGCATGACGGTTTATTGTTCACTGGTAGTTGTTTAAATTAACTGTTTGTTAAATAACAAAGTTTAATCAAGGTGTGTTTTGTTTTGATTTTATTGCATAAATATTGTTAGGAGTCCAACTGCACTAATTTGCCCAACTCAGGCATTGTTTACCTTCACAATATGTGGAACACGCAGCAAATATAATCCGAGGCATCTTCTGGACCGTAGACCCAGAGTATCCAGGCATAACGGTGCTATGCCATAATTATTAGGTTGTCTTGTTTCTCAAAATTAGCATTACTGGGGGATACGTGTCATCTATTTTAATATTTTTAAGCTTTAAATATTTGACCAGTTTTCTGTCATGACATCTATGCCTTATTGGCATAATTATCTTGGGCAAATTTTGCACATGCAAAAACAGTTGGGAAACATGTAATAGTATATATCTAAACAATGTTTTGATCACATATGTCAGGCTGTGTATGAATATTACCATATGCCTGAAAAGTTACTGCTTTACAGAGAAATTACCAAGTTGTAGCTACATGTATTGATTGTTGGGTAGCGCCAAGTCAATTGTGCGAATGCTTACAGCCTTCACATAATAAGAAAAAATAAGTTTATTTTCTTCATACCTGACAATGGTCTTTTGACATGCAGACATTGAACAGAAGCAAGCATAGGAAATGTTTCCTGCATCTCTTTGCTCTTCAGCAGCTCCAGCATTCCTTTGGCTGCTTTGGCGCCTTTCTGGATGACATGATCCAAAAGCTCTTGCACCTTTTCACGAGGAACACGACAAGCTTTAATCTTCTCATAGCCCTGATCCGAAGTCAGATGTCGGGAATGTGCGTGCTGTAGAACAAAATCTGCCTCCGCGCTGAGAATCTTTATCAGCTTTGCCTTCTGGTTTTGAAGCAGCTGCACCACGGGTGCAGATTCAGCTTCTTCAGCCATGGCTGAACAATCCAGAGGGTAAACAACGGAAGACATGCAACAAGATAGAATAATTAACAGGAAAACTTCAGTTTTATAACTTTTTTATGGAGTGTAGTGAAAATGTTAAGTTGTCTTAAACGGGAGTGGATGCTGATGCTATAAAATGAGACAAACTGGCAAAGTTACTGTTTTTTTAAATGTTTTCTTACCTTGTGAGTTATCAATGTTACTTTTATAGTCACCTAAAATAGAGGGCAGATAAAAACTAAATTCATAAATAATGAAACCATTGAGTGTTAAAAAATGCAGATACTACTGTTTATGATTACATGTCAGAGTTGCATCTTGGTTTAATGTGTTTCAATAACTCAATTCAAATTCAGTACACACAGCTTTCTTTTAAGCATTTATTTCAATCAATTTTGATAAACATGACTTAGAGCTAATTGAAACCTAAAATTTAAGTTCCAATAATGTGTTATTAAATTATACACATTAAACATTTATTATAAAAAACATGCTATAGCTTACACAATTATTGGTATTACCTTACTATTTGTGTGTCATGAATCTATTTAATTTGGAATTACTGTAATGAGCCATGAGTAGGATATATGTTACTAAGATGCCTTTTCATATTAATGAAGAAAAAACACTGACCTCTTCGAATTTTGCATTTCCAGATTATGACTCGATCTTTGCTTTTGTTTTCTGCTGTTAATGTTAGGTTGAAGTCACTGTCTGCATTTCTGATGCACACTTCAAAGTATGTTCCAGTGTCATATGCAAGGCACAATGTCTGTGGAGAAAGTACTGATGTTTTTTTCTGATTCCACAAAGGCTTTTCTGAGGCAATGATTTCAAGCACATATGCCCCTCTTATGTAACAATCAGTCAGCTAATTTCTGTGAGAGACATTGAAAGTCTCTCACAGCTTCTCCATTGCTCATGAAATTACTGTTTTTTCAGAATACACGACAAATAATATGCATTTGATCACTTTCTATAACAAGTTGTAGCTTAAATTGACTTCACAATGATTGTAAAACACATTTGAATGACTTCCAAAAATTTTGGCCATGACTGTCAAGGCACTAAGTTTGCTCATCATTAAATTAAAACCTCAATTCCAATTTGTTTGTGCTGAATGACAGAAATTGTCTTACTTCAGGCTCAATTTCAGCATTGTCTGCATCTGTTGTCAAGTTGAAAGAATCCAGAGTTTCCAAGGACTCTTGTTTGCCTGGTTTTGAGATAATTTTTGAACGATGACCAGACTCCTCTTCACAAACTTTCTGTCAAAATAAAGTGAAATAAAATCAATCTTTGTGGTTGAGTTCCCATTTTGAAAACTCCAAACAAACTACTGTATACATAATATCTGAAGTAATTAGTTTAGAAAAACCTTTTTCAAACAATGTGGGACGAGGTAAACATGAAGGGTAAGGTACTCCTTTATAGTCTTGAATATTAAAACATCTGAGCGAACTTTCACTGATATCCCCAGCTTTTTCAGGAAAATTGGAGCTTTTGGTGAAAATGTTGGCTGAAGTAACTTCACGTAGGAAGATGTCACGTCAGACACCTTTTCTATAGAATCTCCACAAGCATCTACATGCAAAACTGCAAACATGTCTGGACTTGTTGATTCAGTACCTAAAAGAAACCAAATCACACCAAAAACAATCACAAACAATATACATCAGGTAGAAAAAGTTACAGTTATTATTTGCTCATAAATATAAATGAACTTTCTTAATGTGTGGTGTACCTGTAAAATAAAATTGGACATACTCTCCTTCCTGGTGTATCAAGATTGATTTGATATGTACAAGCTTCTTACTGGAACTGTATAACTTACCAATCCAGTGGGGTAGATACACCTCCTCCATTGTTCCAGCTAAGATTGAGATGTCCAGCACAGGTCCAGCAGGCAGGTAATCCATGAGGGTAATTCTTTCATAGTGTTCCTCCCAAGAGCCAAAATGGTACCTGAAGGAGATGGGCTCCTTGCAAACCCAGCGCAAGGTGGATACACTGCATTCAAAGCAACCGCTGCCTGACTGCAAGCTAGGAGATGAAAAGAAAAATCTAATGAAAACATTCAGCCATACATCCTTGTTGCAGAAAGGATGCCACACTTAATCAAGGTTTTCTTTTTGTTTAAATTAATTGAAAGATATTTTATCATTAATCGTGAGTAAAACCTAACAGAAAATAATTTGTGATTGCATTAATATGTGTTCTTTAACAGTCCTGGATTCCATTAAATCACCCTTGTAAACTTGTAATCACCTGTATGTTTGCATCTCCCTCACTCTGTGGACTTCAGGGTCAAGTTTAATCCAGTCACATGTGTCCTGATTCAAAAGGCAATATAGTTTTTTAGTATTTCTTTTTCAAGACAGCAAACAAAACAAAAAAAACTTACCATCTCATGAGCTTCAGACTTTGCTTTCCCTGACTTCTCTATAATAGAACACAATTGTCAGTGTGAACATTCTTTGAACAGAAAGCATTTTGTATCATAGTCCAGAGTATAAAAAAGACAAAAAAATATTTTGATCTATTGATATAAATATGTATACCTTATACCTTGTATATTGATAAATAATATGCTGAATTTACTTCAGTCACGTGAAAAATTAACATATACTTTTGGACTTGTGGGTCTCCATCCATCCTTTCATTATCTTCTGCTTAATGGTTCGAGTCATGTGGACAGCAGGCTAGGTAGAGAAGCCTCACTACCCACTTGGGGCATCTCTTCAGTAGGCATCCGAAAATGTTCCCAGATCAGCTGAGAAGCAGAGTTCCTCCAGCTTCTCTTCGGTCTGTCTTTGGATCTCCCCTTGGCGGGAAGCATCCTTACCAGATGTCTGATCCACCTCAACTGATTGCTCTCTATTCTAAGCCCCTCCTGGATGACTGAGCTTCTCACCCTATCAATAAGGGAAAGCCCAAATACACTGCAAATGAAATTAATTTTGGTGCTTGTATACACAGTCTTGTTCGTTTGGTCAGTACTCAGAGCTCATCCAAATCCCTGGATTACCTAGGAGGCTAAATGAGTGTGAGACACCTGTAATTATAACACAATCTTCAGTTCCCCCTTTTAAATTAGGGGGACCACCATCTTAGTCTGTCAATTCAGGGGGACTTCCCCTGATGTTTGTGATTTTTCAGAAGTCTATCAACCAACAGAACCCCACAGCATCCAGAGCCTTAAAAAAGCCTTGAAAATTTTCACCCACCACTGCTGCTCTCTCCTAAGACGCTGGACAGTAGATCATAATCTCCTGAATGCTGTATAGAAGTTATTCTCCATGGCCTCATTGAACTTCTCCCTCACCTGAGTTTATGACTCAGTACCCACCTAAGCTGCATTAGGGTTAGGGTACCCTATTTTGCTTGGACTACCAGTAAGTACTGGTTGCTTCAGAAGTTGAACAAGTCAAAAAAGACCATATAGGACTATATATTCACCAGGGGGGGGTTAGGAATGCTGCCGTCAAAGACACCCGCCAACTTATGGCCACAGCTCAAATCTGATGTCTCCACAATGAAGGCATGAAAGATGGTCTGCTTAGACTCAGTCTCCTCCACGATGTGTTCAAAGTTGTAATGGAGGTAGGAGATGATGCTCATTCTGACAGGAGACTCCTCAAAATTGATCATCAAACGACAGCTCAAAGTGTTTGGTCTCAAGAGCATGTTTGGGCACCCATATGTTTGAATATCGGGTTTGTTTTGAACAATCCATGACAAGCACAGATGTTGAATAACAAAGCATCATTCAAGTTTTGTGCAGAACAAAGGAGTCCCCAGTAGGAGCACTCCCAGGAGCCACTCCAAGGACTCTAAAAAGGACTGGTAATTTCAATTACCATTTGGCCTATAGGCTATTCACTAGGGTGAACACCAGTGAACAGTCAACAAGATGGGGGGCAAAAAGTATGTCCCCTCTTGCTCAGTGCCTCTCAGTAAGCAAACAGTATTTTTTGTGAACAGTAGTTTTCTTACCCTCAGTGACCAGGAATTTTCTCCGAACGCTGAAGGCTACTGGACCTTTGATGGTAAATCCAAGGTAGAAGGAGACTTGACCTGATTTACAGAGGCTGTCCCTTCGGTTGGCCTCTACCTCAACTTCAGTACCTCTGAATCTTGCATAGACTCTGTAGTTTCGCACCACTCCTTCAACTTTGAGAAGGTGTTCTTCAACTATGGAATCTCTGAAGATACTCTCATTCTTCCAGTTTGTGTTTGATTCTTCCAGTGCATTTTTGGTCCAAAAGATCTCAAGATCCCGTCGGGGAACAAATCTGTTCACGGTTTTGCCTGGCCCAAGAAAAAACAGAGGTCGGAGGTATCTTGATCGAAACATCGTCTTGTATTCTCGCTCATAAGCATGACTTGCATCTTTGATTAATTGATTGAGATCAGAGACTGGTTTGTCTTCATCGTCTGTAGGCCAAAACAGAAGTAGAGAGAGAAGGTGATATTCTGGTTGTGTGGCAGAGGACGGTGGCTTTCTTAGTTTTAAATCATTTTTGTAATCAGAACTGGATACAGCCTTGTTTTTGTTTGAAAGCATGATCTTCGCAAGGATAAAGTTGACAAAAGCATCAGTAGGAAAATGATTTCTTTGACAGATTTCCTCCCACCACTTAATGATGTGTTCAATGTCTGAGGTACATGTTCGGTCTAGACATGAGAGGACCCCAGCAGATGTGATAGCCAGTTTCTGTTTCAGTTTTTGGAAAGTCTGTTGGAGTCTGTCATTGTGTTCAGGGACAGAGTCTCCAACATACTTTTTGAAGCAATCTGCAGCTGTTTTTGAAACATAAGATTTGTCTTTTTTCATGACAGACTGTGAATAAGTGAGGAAGGTGTCAAAGAACACAAATTTTTTCTCAACTTCATCCCTGAGATTCTTTATTAGATGGTGAAACCTAAATAGTTTGTTGTCTCCAAGTGATTCCAAGACTGAGCCCATCGGCACATTCTTTGTAAGCACTTGCTTCCAAGTCTCATTTAGGTTGGCAAGCTTATCAAACAGAATGTTACAGACCTGCAGGAAACCAAACTGCCCTCTGGTGTTTAAACTCCACTGGACTTTAGATTTCTCATTTTCTGTCAAACTTTTCCTGTGTTCCTCTTCAGCAAGTTTTTCTTCATGCTCAAAAGCTTCAATTGCTTTCTGGGCCAACTGTAATAGTTGTCGTGGTTTGAGTGAAAGCTTTTCATTCCTTAGATGGTTTTTGTGAACTTGGCCCAACGTGTCAGCAATAAAGGATTTTTTGGGGTCTCGTTTTATTGCCTCTTTTGCCCAAAATTCAGCTTCCTTGTAGTCTTCAAGTTCTCCATAACAAAGCCTAGCAAGTGCCTGGGGGAACAAAGAGTTCTTATCAAACTTCTTTGATGCAACCTTGAGAACCGATGCACTCTGGTTTTTGTCTTCCACCTTGAGAACTGATGCACTTTTTTTTTGTTTTTTGTCTTCCATCTCGTTAATGTGTAAAATCAGAGTAGAAAATCTCTCCAGATCCGAGTCTTCGATCGACCCATCCTTTTTATGCTCTCGTTTTGTCAGCAAGTCCTTGATGAAGCCAAACAAACATGGAGAAACCTCATCTGGACAAAATTGGCGCAAGAAGTTTCTCGCCGTGTCACTTCTGGGCACTCCTGCAATAGCCAGTAGTTCAGTGCAATGCTTTGCAATCATTGGATGAGCCATCCGGATTCTTTTCTCACAACTTTTGTCATGTTGAAAAGAGATAATGAGATGACTGAAAGGCTGCATTCGGGTCACCAGTGAAAGGTCACCCTGCAGGGAGCTGTCATGTCTGAGGAAGTCTAAGCAGTCAGACTCTAGTAGATAGGAGCCTGGTACATAGGCATTCAGCAAGGACAGGAAGGACAAAAGTTGGGTCTTCGGGGGTTTATTTTTCCTTCCAACCGTGTTAAGGACAGCACATGCTTCTTGGATATAATCCTGTGAGAAATTACTGTGTAGTATGTTGAAACCATGGAACTGGGAGGCTTTGGCTCCGTATTTTCGGCTGAGCTCTTCCTTCTTGGTATCCAATTTTTCCTTTTCAGTGTCTGAGAGGGTTCTTTTGAGGATGACGTAGTCAGAGTCATGACCCTTCATGAAGCCCTCTTGTTCTCTGTAGTGTTCAGTTTTGAGGATGGCGTGGTCACTTCTCACACAGATGAATAAAATTACCACAGGAATATCAACATCTATCTGCTGTTCTTCGATCTCTGCCATGATGCTGTCCTGAAGATGCTCCAAAATGAACTCTTCATTTATCAAGAGCAGCACAGTGTTGAGATCATCTTTGCTGCCTCCAGTAAAAAGGTGAACAACTTCCTTTGCAATCTTTGTGCACTCCAGAGGAGAACCCATTAAGGCAGCGCATCTGAGGGTTTTTCTCATCTCCCATAATACTTGCATGGCCAGTGTGGTTCCCCCACATCCTTGCTGGTGAAGCAGTTTAACTGTTGGTGTTCCGATGTAGTTTCTCCGTTTGTGAATCTGCTGCACAAGTCTCTTATACCCATCTCTTTTGATGAATGAAGATCCCGTGCCATTCGACTCAGCCAGATCACTGATGTGAAAGTTTAACCATTCAGCTGGTGCTCCTCTGAGAAACTTCTCTTCTGCTTGTTCAACAGTTTCTTGGTCTATGGTCTCTTCTTCAAACTGATCTGCATAAATGACATCCAAAACAGTAAAGAAATCTCTGATTTCTTCCGAAAAAAGCTTTTTGCCTGCAGATGTGGGCAGTGCTGTTTTGCTGGACATTTTTGCCTTGTTCACCTGTAGATGAAAGACATGCGAGATTTGTGAAATTGCAAAGTAAAACATCATTACAACAGATATTGCTATTTTTTGTTTTACCTACTCTCAGTAGGAACTTTGTTTCTGAGTCAGTCCCAGACCACACATAGCCGGATATCTGAGGGGGAAAGAATAAATTTTTATGCCTTTTGGCCTTTCATCCACATGAAAAGTGTTTTATATCACTAAAAATGATTACTTATGAAAACTACAACCAAAGTGGAAACTTGAGAAAACGCTAATTGTGTTTGCATGTGTACAAACAATCAGTATCCCTCACATTAGTCTGTGATAAATTATATGCTAATATATCCACATACTTACTTTGATATGATTCCCAATCAACATTATCTTGTGTTTTATTATTATTATTATTTTAGATTTTATTATGCTAATTAAAAGTAGTTCTACCTATATATCTGTCCACACAAATGCACCTGGCACTATATTTAATCTCTAACAAGAAGTTGTGCTTCTTTTGAAGTAATCTGATTGACTGACAGGTTTGACAGGTTTTAGTTTTGCGCTACACTGCCCTCTATGGGTTTGACATGTTTAAAACATCACTGAAGTGTGGATTTGTGCGCCTTCATGTGGATATAACTTTTCTGAAAGCGGTCCTGTGTATAATATTACTTTTTAATTCAATGTGATTGAGATATTTGTTTTTATTAAGACCCAGTTGTCTGCGTAGAAGACTTTAGAAGCATATTCAAAATGAAGAAAACCGAATACTGGCAGACTCTGAATTATTGAACATAGTGTATTTTACTGAATGCCAACAACAAAGTAAAGACATGAAACACAAATGTACAACTGTTGAGAGCCAGGCTTTACAGAAATGCATTTACATTTTTTTTTTTTTTTTTGGTTGAACACCTGTGATGTGGTGGTTTCTCTAGATTTTGCTTCACTTCAGACTGTATGGAAGCTACCATTACCTATTACCCTGATCAGGGAATCGAATAGCTGCCCCACTTCTGATTTGGAGGAAAGTTTATGTCCAACCCATTTAGGATTAAATAATTAATGAATGAGGCAGAGAGTCTCTGCAGTCAAAAATAAACATTTTATCATCAAATCCACAACATGTAGATCTCATCTATGACTGATTCATTGGGTCATTCATTTCCAAGCCTAAAATACAACATGAACATAATCAATAATGATCAGTCTTTTAATATTTATTACCAGGTGTCTTTTAACACTTAAACCTTTAATTCGCCATCTGAAAGCACAACTAAAGGATGTATATTATTTTCAAAATTAATCAAATGTAACATTCATCACTTAAGAAATAAAAATATAAATTTATACTTTAAGAAAAATCACAGAACTGTTGAATTTCTGAATGAACCAAATTTTCATTTGGAAGCGTTCTTGTAATAAAGCAGCTGGCATAACGGTGAGAGAATATCTGAGCTAACTCAGTGATATGAGATTGTTCTACAGTAAAGGAAGCCATTACTCATAAACTCTGAAAAAAAAAATCTCTACTAACCTGTAATATTATATAATTTGCGCTTACAAAGAGCCTGTGGGCCACACTCATCAACAATTACAGAGAAGTTTTCTATTAAATTCAGTTTGTTGATTCCATGACAATTCACAAAAAATGTTGCCTCGACACGTTTCAAAAAGTCAGTTGATTCTGTGTCACATACAGGTAAGTTGAGTATTTCCTGCTTTGTCGATCCTTCTGACATAAAATGTGTAAAAACAATGTCTTCTCACTTAGAGAGCAGTTGCTCAGTGATTTCAGCTTCCTGCTTATTTTGTCTTTCTATTTTGTTTCTATGGAGCTCCAGTAGCTGGCAGGTAAAAATCAAGAATGTTAACAAGCATGAAGTTAGCAACTCATATTTCTTTCATCACACAGCAATGTAAGAGTTTCTTTTTAAATTTAGGTAATGAAATTGAACTATTTAAGAAATGTTCCAGATTTTGGACACACAGAAAAGCCTAGAATCACTATAAATAAACCTGATGATAAGCTTTATGTTTATTTACAAATTGTGTAAAGTTTTTACTAGGGTTGCACCAATTGGAGTTTTCTGTCCGATCGCCGATTTTTAAAAAGCCTGACCTGCCGATTCCGATTTTGGCAGATATCGATTTTTTTTTTTTTTTTTTTTGTCTGAAATGTTGCTACATATAGAAAGGAAGTCACTGAGTTGTCAACGGTGGGGTGACGACTGTTAACTCCAGACATGAAAACATGACCTGGTGGGCGGGGCCAGCAGTTAAACTTCTCTCATAGAAGAGGACAGTGGTTGACTTTTAGACCGTTGGCAAGGTAAATAAGACTGGTGGATAACATTGGCTTCACATTTATGTATTACCAATCAGAAAAAAATCTGGGCCAATTTATCGTAGCACCCTTTATTTTGACATCTTGTTTAGAAACCAGAAAAGGATGAAGTGAACTTTTTTGGTTTTCTTAGGAGCCCTCTGCTTTAAGAAAAGATATATCCTAAGGTTTTTAAACCCTCCACTAATTCCATAATATGCTTATAGCTTAAGTTATAATTTTTTGCACATAGATTATAATTTGCTGCATTGTAACAGGAAGTTCTTCATGTTCTCTCCAGGTCCTCCATCTTCCTCTACTGACATGACAGTTAGCTTCATCGGTCTCTGTAGTTTGTCTTCTTTGTCTATGTGTTCCCCTGTGGAAGACTGGCCATCTGTCCAGAACTGACCCCACCTGAAACCCAATGACCGCTGGAGATACGCACCAGCTACCCCAAAGCCCTGCAGGGAGAAGCGGACAAACGACGCATGGATGGATGTTTTTCTTAGCTAAGTGTCTGCTAGCTACTTCAGTTAGCAGGCTCTCTGCCTGGAACAGATATTAGGCTATAATTGATATTTTTTAGATCTATAGATTTCATCCCTTGTGGGTTAGATTTAGATTACTTTGAATCCTGCTAAAAGCTAGAACTTGTATGTTTTATATTGATAATACAAGAAGTAGTAAATGTTTCACTTTCTTTTCCTGTGACTCTATTTAGCCTGCTTTTTTTTTTATTGAACTTGCATTTTGGATTGCACTTATTTTGGCTCTAAGCCCAGATTACAATAAAAATAAATAAAGATATACCACACACCAAACAATGGATCATAGTAACTGTAGTCAAGTAAACAGAGTCCAGTCTAACTACATCAGATAAAAGAGGTTGATGCTTCAAGTCTAACACTGAGCTGTGATTACTGCCTAACTACATAATCCTGAGTTAAACCCTGCACTGATCTGTTGCCAAGGTAAGCCTTTTAAATAGACAAATGTAATATACACTCTGATGCCAAACTCGTTAGAAATAATCAGAGGTTGTATTTTATAAGGTGTAAAAATGTACCAAGTTCTTACGTTTTCGGAGAAGTCTCTCAGGCTCTGTCTGCCTCCGTGAAGTCGGTGCCTCTTCTCTCTGACAGCAGAGCAGAAATGAAACTAGAAACCACTTGGGGAAGGTACTGCTGCTTGTCTGACACGGCTGGTATGCAAAGGGAGTGTCAGCCACTTTGATGATGATCATTTCAGGAAAAACGAAAATAAGCAAAACAATTGAATCACCTCCACCTTATGTTCGGAAAGCTGTCAGTAATATTTATGTTACAAAACAGGGTTTCTGCTTCTTTAAAAAAAAAAAAAAAAAAAAAAATAAAGAATTATTCCACTTTCATTTCTAGGGAAAACCGTAACGAACAGAAAAAGAAGTGGGACAGGTTTGTGAGTCAGAGTGTCCACAGTTAGATTAGTTCCTACATGCTTTGAATGCGGCATATTTGCTAAACAAATTCTTGTGGCTGTGTACTTCTTCTACTAACAGGAAGTGTTTTGTTTTCATTCATGTTTATGGCAGAAAAGTATTGATGTGTCCCTCATGTGATGCATATAAAGACATTACAACTTGCATGAATTCATTCATACACAGAAATGCATACATATACATAAATATATCATATATTGTCTGAATCAAACTATAGAAAGGGCTGATGGGCAGTAGCCCAGGGCAGCAATTTGGAGGGAGTTGGAGGTGGGACATTCTTTTTCTGTTCTTTTTCTCTAATGCATGTCTTGCATTGCAGTTTATATAAAAATCATAAGTTCATTAACATGAATTCCACTACTATTTTGGGGATTTTTGTGTCACAATACTCAAGTATTTGAAAATTATGAAGGTATAGCACAATTTTTTGGGACATAATACATGTATAGATAGAAAAGGCTCTTAATGCTTTGGGATTTGAGCAGCTGAAATGTTTTTAAACACAAGACCATTCAGGGCTTTACAGACCACCAGTTTTTTTTCTTGTTTTTTTTGTCTTTGTTTAGTTTTTTAATTATGTTTATTAAGAAATGGAGTCGGTAATGACTGGTGTAATGTGATTTATTTTGGCCAGTTATTTTTTCTTCATGAGGGCTGGTCTCCTGTGTCTCAGCATTAACACACCTGAGTCCAATAATAAGGTAATT